CATTAGCAATGGCTAGCAAATTGGCTATAATATTTTCTGCAAGAGCAACCCATGCGGTTTTTTTTACCCAAACAATGACCTACACCAGCTGTGTGGCCATACGCTGGAGTAACTTGACTGACAGTGTGAGAAGGAAAAATCCAGCTTCCGGCTGCAGAAGGTAGGGGAGGAACACCAGACAAAAGTGTTACAAAACATTAGCTTCCTGCTTAAAATCACTTGATCTGAAATAAATTACTTTTCTTTCAGAATGAAAGAGGGAGTACGCGGTTAAGCTGAAGGAATATTTAAAGGTGGTCCTTTACAAGACTACAGTGAGCTACTGCTGTCAGACTTTGGTGTGACGATGGGTGTTTCTGGTGGCTCAGGATTTTGACCAGGAGGCAGCAGAGCTCCTGGAAAGAGAATGGCATCAAAGGTCCACAGGTGAGAAGTTATTTTTGGTCCATGACAGTTCTTTGTGGTTAGAACAAAGGCCAGTACCTGTAGATGTGCTATTTATTCTGTTTAATTAGAGGAGTAAACGTCTGAACACTTGGTTGACTAATGTTAAAATGTGTCATTTATGTGCAGCGTGATGTTAAAACAAAAAAAGTTCCAAAGAAGATTCCTGGCGAGCCCAAAAAACCTTTTAAGTAAGCACGATCGTAATACATTTGTTCCTTATAAGATTCCCAGAAATATTTAAAACTCTACAACTTGCAATATCTACCTGCAGGAAAACTAATTTGAGATGTTTTCCTTACTCACAGTGCTAATATAATATTCTGCAAAAAGCAGATGTTACTTTTCAAGGAGACATTTCCAAACTCAAGGGAGCGATTCGCCAAGGCCAATCAAATGTGGAGAAAACTCTCCTATGAAGACAAGAGTTGCTTCATACAGGAGGTAACTGAAAACATGAAAGGGTACTCGATGGAGCTGCAGAAGTGGTTTAAGGTATGAAGAATCCTGTTCTGATTATTTCAATCTTAGACATTTAACCTTTATACTACTGGAACGTCCTTTAAAATGTGTCACATTTTCCATTCTTTAGACATTGTCAAGAGCACAGCAGGCGTGTTATCGGACAAGTAACCCCTCCGTAAGAACTTACCGTATTCAAGCACTAGTTTCTTTATTTACACACTATTCTTCAATATTTCTTCACGATTGTTAACATGATTCTTTTTCAGAAATTGAAATACCTTGGTGAAAATTGCAGTAAAGAACCATTTGCCTACAGACCATCGGTAAGTTTAAGTGTTGAAACAAAAGACGTTACGTTATAATTAATTATTTACTGCACCAATGCAGCCCTCTGACTGTCTCTCGGTTTTAATGTACTTTATCTGAAATGTCACTTACATTTACCAGAAGTATGCTGATAAGTTTGTAGTCAATGAATGGTACACAGTTAGGAAATTCTTATTTTTGGGTTAACTGGGTCATTTAAAAAGAAAAAATAATTTAGATATCTATATTATGATATAATTCATAGGATTCATTCAATTCCATCTGCATTTTGGTTTAAAACAAGCTCTATATTCAGTCCACATTTATCATTATGTCACGCAGGATTCAGAAGATGAAATCTTTGAAGACTGCAACAGCGAGCAAGAAAGGACGATGTTTGACTTTGAAGAGGTTCGAACACATTAAAAAAACACATTATTTGAACTTTTTGTATCATAGATGTTTAATTAATATTTAATGTTGTTTTATAGGATGAAGAGGAAGAAGAAGATGACGAAAACATCACATTTGAAATGTTTTAGATGGTGATTGGATGGGAACAGAGCTTGTGAAGTTCAGAGCCAAATTCTGGATTAAGTGCCTGACTTTAATGCCACATTGTACTGTATTGAGAACTGCTTCCTTAACATATTTTGGGGGCCTTGATGTTAAAATAGGGTCCCTTTGCAAACAAGATGCTTTGGGATCAATGTAATTTAATCCTGTGTTGTGTTCACATGCTGTTTTTACTGTTACACAATGACTGCTTGTATGCATCAAAATAGTTTAGGGAGAAAACACGACATGGGAGTTTTATATCAGCTCTCATATTGCCTCATTTTAAATGTGATGTTGGGAATTGTATTTTTATTGATTGTAAAAACAAAACTTCTTTGTCAAGCATTGTTTTGTATTAATACAAACCCTTTTTTAGATTTTTCCAATAAACATGTTGAATAAAATGTGATTCATTTTTCGATTATCCTTTGTTAAGTTGAAGTAAAAATGCACAAACGACCAGTGCAGGGGAAAAAAGGTTTATAATTACTAATACAGAGCCGAACAAAAGGCTTATTTAACCCCTAAATGTCAGGGGGTAACGCAGTCACATGTCGCGCTGGATGAAACAAACACATCAGAGCTGATGCAGAGAAGAAGCACTGCTGCAAAGGAAGCCCTCGGTGGAACTCGTGTAGCGATCGATTGCTACTGTCTGATCTCTGTGATATAAAGATGGATGCCTGCCGAAATAGGTAAATAAACACAATTAGCAAATTCCCGTTGGTGTGGTTGCTATTTGTCCTCGTAAGTAGTTTTGTATTATGGGATAGAATCGTAGGATCGTTTTGGTCTCATATTATTGGAGTTGAGAGCGGAACAGCCGCAGTGCAGCAGCGGTGTTGTGTTCGGGGACAAGACTCGCTGTGGTCAAATGTAATTCTTCAACAGCAGAAACCATTCAACCACTTACAAATGTGTTATATTGTTTCTAAATACTCAGCCAGGTTTGATACATTTGATGTGTTTAGTTTGTAGATGTAGCTGTCGTTTACCTGGAGGATACAGCGTCTTGTAACCTCTTGGCATGCTTCAATTCCTCCAGCCTATTCATAGCCACGCTCTTTGTTTTCCCCGCAAGACTTTGGCTAAGCTACCTTCGTTAGAGAGCAATGCTCGCACCGGCAGCGTTTGTAATTTGAGCTAACGTCACGTTTGTGTGTTTATTGCGACATTGCAGTGCTACAACACCAAGTTATTTTCGGTTTTCTGTTATTCGCAGGTTATAAACGAGGGAAGTGAGTCCCTGGTAGTGTTCAACGTGCAGTTGTAAGTAGCTGCATCACATTCAAGGCATCATATGTTGACCATGCGCTCATTTACATGCATTGGGTAACGCCGCTGTGTTGCTAACTGTGTTTCCCTCCTGCTGCAGCCCTGTTCTGGCCAATGTTTGCTGCGCTACAGCATGACCACAGCAGTGTCGGTTCATCTGGTAGTTCTGGCAAATGAAAATGGAGGAGGTTTCAATGTCCAGCCTGGACAACAGCAAGCTGGAGGTACAGTAGAGCAGAGCCACTGTGTGACGGTGGTTTAATCAGCCTTGGAAATGCCCATTACATCTGAAAACACACGGCAGGAAACAGACAGTCTGACTTGTGCCTCTGTTTCTCCCGACCCTTCCTGCCAGGGCCTAGCTCAGGACATCCTGTCTGACCTGGTGGAGGATGCCTGCCTGGGTCTTTGCTTCGAGGTCCACCGGGCCGTCAAGCAGGGCTATTTCTTCCTGGATGACACAGACCAAGAAAGCATGAGGGACTTTGGTGAGCACAAACTCTACTATAGTGAAATAAAGGTGACATAAATAATGTGTGTGAACAACAGAGGAGATGTTTAGCTTTTCACACATTTGATGATAAAAGATTCAAATCTGACTTCAGCACCAATGACTCGTGACTTTACTCAAATCTGAGCCTTATGACTTGAAAAGCCTAATAATTAACGCAAATGAATGTATTTCCCTTCATTTCCTGAATCAAGTGAGGTTACCACTTTCCATTCCACTTTCCATCAATTTGACACTTAATTCCCCAAATCCATTTTGTTGAACCAATCCGTCAGCGTCCTTACAGGTTGCAAATCAATGACTTGGTCACACTTAAATAACACAACATTAAAAAAAAAGACAAAAGTCAATAACAATGCATTCAGACAATAACATCTCTCATGCCATCTCTCATTCCAGAAATTGTGGACCAGCCGGGATTGGATGTGTTCGGCCAGGTGTACAACCAGTGGAAAAACAAAGAGTGTGTGTGTCCCAACTGCAGCCGAAGCATTGCTGCCTCCCGCTTCGCTCCACATCTGGAGAAATGCCTGGGGATGGGACGCAACAGCAGCCGCATAGCCAACCGCAGGTATGAGAGAGATAAACAGGTAACCACAGTAAAATGGACAAATTAAAATCAAAGGAACACGTACACATTTGTCCTTTTTAAGCTAAAAAAAACCCACCCTACTACTATGTGAAAATGATAATAGGCAAGGTATTCAATAGTGCATATGTACCATATTTGAGTTATCAAACTTGTAATCTATGTATACTGGAGATGCCCCACCACCTTTGAGTATATTTCCTTAAATAGAAGGATAGGAAACATTAAAGTTGGTTTCAGGTCATAATGTATTTTTATTCTAATCAAACTGTTATTTGCAGCGAGTAATGCTGAGTCATTTGTGTGTGTTGTGTCTAATTATTCCCTATTTTACAGAATAGTCACCGGTAACAACACCAACAACAAGTCAGAGAGCGACCAAGAAGACAATGATGATGTTAATGATAACGACTGGTCTTACGGTGCAGAAAAGAAAGGTGATGTAGTGCCGTTATGTTTGACTTCCTTTTTAAATTGATTGCCAATATAATTCCCAAATTAAATGACCCTGTTTTTTTTAATCTAAAATGTAATGTGTTTCTTTTACAGCCAAGAAAAGGAAATCTGATAAGGTACTTTTACTTTATTCTAACAATAAGTATTACATTGTTTTATCATCCTAATCCCTATTTAATTTATAAAAACACATGGAGAGGTTTTCTGATTTGTCAACGCATAATTGACATTTATATTTTTCCACCTCAGAATCCAAACTCACCCAGAAGATCAAAATCATTCAAGCATAAGAACAGTAAGTGAAAATGAATGCCTTAAACTTCTTCTTTTGTTTGTACTATGTGTACTTATGTATCCAAATACTCATTACTTCTCAATTTGTAGGCTAGTTATTTTTAACATATTTCTTATGAATGCTGTCTAGTGCAGCATTGTGGTTTCATTATTTGATGTTAAAGTGAAACCACTTTGTGTCCAAAAACTTCCTCCTTAGATGATTGCTTAGTTCTAACCTCTCAAAATAGTTTTGAATATCTGTCTCTTAGCTATGCGTCTATGATGACTTGTATTAATCAGACGTATCAGCGAATTAACCCTTGTGTCTCACTTTGAAAAAGTTTCCTTTGTTTAAAGTCTGTTTACATCAGAATTTCTTTATTAGTCAGCATCAGGGAAATGTACAACTGTTCTTTAATACATTTATCAAATGTATGTCAATGTGTCATGGTCTGTCTCTTGGCCATGACAAAATAATGATTTTAAAGACACGGTAAAGTAAGTGGTTTTATTAAAATAAACCAAACTAAAGGAAAGCTACCAATATGAAGTGTGTATATCAGCAGTATCAGTTGTGTAGCTGTGGATGAGTGAGCATAATGTAGGGCAAACTGTTGTATGCCAAAACCAAAGACGATGCCAAGCAAATTACACAAACGGGTAGCTGCTCTCAGAAAGGAGGTCTGCCAGAAAAGAGAGAGCGGACGAGACACAGATTTTGATGCATTTTTTTAGTGCAGGAAACCAAGAAAAATAGCAAAGACATGCTCCTGGAGATGCTCAAGGGTTAAAGTTCATAATTAAATCATTGTAATCTGTATATTGCATGAGTAAATTAATGAAATTCAGCCTGTTGTTTATTCCCATAGGCATGATGGGTCCTAGACGTCGAATGGACAACCAGGAGAGCCCACGCCTGCTGATGAAAGACGAGGCATTCCCTCAATAACACACTCAGTCACAAACACGCATTCTCTTACCATAGTGTGTGCACATACACACATAAACGCACATACGGGAAGACCAGTAACACTTCAACTTTGGTTCTTTATGTTGTGAATCAATGGACGTCCATGTTATAGGTGACACTCATGGCGTTTGCTGCTCTGAACAAGCAGTCCAGACCTCTCACTGTATACTTGACAGATTTTCTTTTGTTTTTCACAAATCATTGTACCAACACTCATTTTTTTTCTTTTGTTTTAGTTTCTTTTGTTTAAGAAGTTCTAGCTGGAGTCCAAAATAATGAATTTGACCGTATACAGTTTCACTTCACAGAGGTAGATTCTGGTGTAGTTCATGCAGCGGCCAAGCAGAGGCAGCTGTGTGAAGAGTGATTGTGTGCACATACAGTATGTTTTGTTTTTGTATACAGAAATGATTAGGTGTACTTCTATTTCCTCAACTTTTTAAATCTCATTCTTTGAATAATAATGTCAAAGACAATCATTTCTCAATGTTTGTCTTTTGTTTTCAGTTGAATCACGATACAGTGACTCGGTTTGCCATTCACCTGTTCAAACTAGAAAATGTTCTGTTAATCAACAAGTTGCAATCAATTTGCTGCAGACAGCAAGTTTGTTTTGTTTCATTTTGTTTTTTTTCATTTTGTGGCTAGGTCGGCTTGTTTTCTAGCATTCAAAAATGTCTTTGTATCATGTGTTTACATTGTAAAGGGTTACATATATCTTCGGTTTGATGTGATAGTGTAAATATTCCAATAGTTGAATTGCTGCTATCATGGCTCAGTTTGTTTAATCTGTCTAGCATAATAAATGATTTGTTACCTGTCTTTATGTCTCGTGTTAACTTGAAATTGTTGGCAGGCACTAAATGGGGGTGTAAACGTCACCCTGCTCAAGTACTTGCATTGAAAACAAAAATGACCAACAGGGGATGCTGTTGCTCAAATGGTGAGGTTTAGAGATGTTAGTTTGGTTATTTTGGTGCACCTAAGATAAATACATAACATGTTTTCTTAGTGATGTGCTTCTGTACAACTTATTCTTAGGAAATTGAGACGTAGTAAATAATTATTTCACACAGTGGAAAAAGTAAGAAGTTCAGTGTAGTTATTGAGTTCCCAGAATGATGCCTTCAAGTTCTTAACTCCGACATATGAGTTGTGATTCATTGGGGATCATTAATGAAGGCTAATAGGATACAGATTAAATCAGGCATTTAAAATGATACAGACAGTTTTATACAACTTTTTTTAACGTATTAATTTGACAACGACAACCAATCCTTGAACCGCTTTGTGTGACGTAACCAGAGACTAAAGATGTCAATTATTTTCAATATCTCAAACTTTAGTATTATTTATTTTATGGTCATTTATTTTATCCCCACTTTGAGTATTTAGTTTACATTGTGCTCACATGGTAGCCTACATACTTTTCATACTTAATTTACAAAGTATATCTCTTATTAGTACTGTTTTACGAGTTAGCCATGTTAAGTCTTAAGAACAAGAGGAGGAGTTGACAAACTACCCAACAACCTCCACTCGCTTTCCAGAAAACAAGCCGTTGCAGGCAGAAGCAGATCCCGGAAGTAGATGCCGTTAGAAACGAGCTAACGTTAGCCAGCTTTTTGTTGACAGTTTGCTGGCTGTCAAACCACAGCTTGACCTCATTTAAAGAAACTGCAGTCAGCGAACGCTTCGTCCCAACTTGTACCAGCGACGTGTATTTAGCAGCTTGCTAGTGTTGTTTATTGACCGAAGTTTGGCTATAGTTTTCGTCACTTTTAAAACCACTTGTGGATCCAGAACATGGCATCGAGAGGAGGAGGAGGAGGGTTCACCCCGATGGGTCTGAGCCCCATGAATGTGGGGCATGCTGCGGGCATGAGGATGCCAGGTATGCCCCAACCTCCGGGGGGATACTCCCGGGGCATGAACAACGCTCCCCAGTACCCACAGGTGAGTTTTCTCTTTCCTTGTATTATTACTTTTTAAAAAGAGGGAACCTTGGTAACTTACTGAGCTTAAGTTAAGTGTAATGAGAGTTCATTTCACTATGGTTTTTGTAAAGTTTATGTTACCATGTCTGATTTGATTGTACACACTCCTACATTTGGATTACAAAACAATTATTTATCTTCTGACAGTCATCACACAGATTAAATATAATAACCCTAAATGTCTTTATCCTTAAATATCAAGGTGTGGACCTATGGTGTGAACTCGCACTACTTCCGCATTGTAAAAATCAATGTAATAACTTACTGCCACCAACAAACTGAGTGTTGCATATTTAAAATGTTTTATAGTGATTGATTATTTTCTACTCTAAAGTATTTTAATGTTTTTAAATAATTAGCATTACAGTTTTTGTGCATTTGTTAAAGAGAGAATCACGTGGCTGCCCTCAGCCTCCTGACAGTTAGCGTGAAACAAAAGTAATTTTATCATCTCCATCTGTCAGAGCTGAGCGTGCATATGGTGGTATACCAGTTTTCCCGCCATCTGCATGTGGTATTTAGTTAATACGCATTATTAAAATGGTGTCATATGGCTTCAGATCTATGTTTCAGATATGTGTTTGTCTGTGAAGGGAGTGTCCAAACCATCCAAACACAGTAAGCAGCCGCGTTGAGATAGAGCATTCTCATCCATTGTTGGTTATTCATTCAATGTGGTTTATGTCAGAGTAGAACTGAATCATAACACAATATGTTATTATCCAATAACTATTGGAACATCAATTGAAAAGCCATAAAGCAAGTATACCTACATTACATAATAGTTCAAATTAAACATTAAAAACATAGATTTTTGTAGGATTTACTAACATTGCTTTTATCTAATGTATCCCATCAAGCTTCGTTCATTTACACAGGATTTTCTTCTTTTAGATTTTGTATCTACTTATTCATTAGTACTAAACGTTGTTGAACGCATGTTCTGTGTACCGTAGTGGAAATACACATTTGTATACTACATCTGGCTAGAAAATATTTTCTGCTTTTAATGTTGAAATCAAAAGTAGCATCCTATTGAAAGCATACACATATTCTTTATAAACCAGTACTGCAGGTAGAAAATATAATTGAATCATCTGCACAAATGCTTTTTTTTTTATCGCCACACTTGTATTTAAAAGCAAATTAGTGAGTAAGAGAATATTCTGGAGAAAGAATATAGAAAATTCTTATGAACCACAAATAATAATTTCAGCTTTCCCTTTTATCTTTAGCGCCCAGGGATGCCATCTAACCGAGTTGGGGGCCCAATGGGATCAATGGGGGGTCAGCTGCCTGGCCCTTCTTACGGCAGTGGGAACATGTCCATGCGGCAAGGCATGGGGCCTCCAGGCATGGACACTTCCAGAAAACGCTTTCTTCATATGCATCAACAGCAACAGCAGCAGCAGCAGCAGCAGCAGCAGCAGCAAGAGGCGCTGGGAAGCCTGAGACGAGGGTAAACTGAGGAGAAGTGAGAGTGTTTGTGTGAGAGCGGGAGAATAATAATGCCAAGGATGATTGATCAAGACATCCATGGGCCAAATCAGGGACTGGTTCAGCCTGGGACTTAAAACTGGTGCAACTCATCGTTGTACAAAATCAATACATTCGATTTGACGTGAAAAAGCAGCAAATCCTCATATTGGAGAAGCAATATCCTACATTTCTACTTATGAAACCACTTAAATTATCTGTTATTAACATTGTTCCCAATCAATGAATCACCTCAACAATTATTTAATGAAAATTGCACACCACATTTCCTGCAGAATGTATTTCTTTGAGGTTCTTAAATGTGATGTTGCAGTAGAATGAAACATTATTACAGCCAGTGGGAGAAGTTATTAAAGTTAGAGTTCATGATGAATCAAAAAGTCTTATAATTACATACTTTACACAATAGAAGCCATGTGGTCACAAAGACTCAGCCGCTGATGTTTCCTGTCATGGCTCATTAACAAAATAACAACGCCACTATTCATTCAGGATGTGTTTTTCTCTGCTTGTGAAGTTACTGTGCTGCTAACACAGCTCAGATAGCACAGACACGAGGGGAGAGCATCTCATGACTGGCCTTTGCTTTTAGAGCAGCAGACACAAGTCGGTATGTTTGACTTGAAACTGCTCCGTGGTGCCACGCTGACAAACGTTGCGATCCACAATGAATCTCTTGTCTGTAAAGCTTGATCTCATAACCAAACTCTCAGTGTACGGGGCTTGGTGTGCCAGAAGAAACAATCTAAATCCTCATCAAAGCGCCTGGGAATGACATCCTAATGAAGGGAGCTGTGTAATTTAATTAAAGAAAACAACAGTGCTTTTATGAAGTCAGTAGCGATGATGAGGAGTCAGAGCCCTGGGTGAGGGGGAGTCGATGAAGAGAGGAGCCTTTTGTTATTGCACGATGAAGCTTTCACAAATAACTGATAATCCAATGAAGTCAATGAGGTCTTTCTGTTCATCATGTGGATGTCAGTGTGTTTTTAGTTCCTTGTAAATTGGTTAATGAAGGTCATACTTTAAAAAGATCAAATGCTAAATGATGATCCAGAATTGGCTACAGAGTACAGTATGTCCTTGTTTGACTGAGTAACATGTTTAGCCTCAGGATGTTCTACTGTTTCAAGAAAGCATCATGGTCAATTCATTTATGCACATAACAGTACTCTGGAAATCATCTTAATAACGTCTCTCGTTATGTTTAATAACTTGATGAATAATTATGATTTTACTATAGTCGTTAAATTAACAATCCATTTGAAAGTTCTGCTTGGAACAAATCCCGTTTTTTTTGTCCTTTCATATTTTTTATTTATTTGTTATATTTCTTCTTCTTCTACTTGTTTTTCTTCTTATGAATATTATTATTATGAATATTATAATTGTTAATGATGATTTGATGCTGAATCTCAAGGGGGTTATTCCTAATTAACACCAAACCTCTTATTTATTTCAATTTCTTTGTGACTTTTAGGCCAAAGAGACGAAAGATGGCCGACAAGGTTCTCCCACAGAGGGTAAGAAAGTTTGGACCCCCACTGAAACAAATGTAACTGGATTCAGTTTATTCACAGTCGGCTGAATTCCCTTAATATTAACGCCCTGCTGTCGGCTCTTCAGATCAGAGACCTGGTCCCAGAGTCCCAGGCCTACATGGATCTCTTGGCCTTTGAGAGGAAACTGGACCAGACCATCGCTCGAAAGCGTATGGAGATCCAGGAAGCCATCAAGAAGCCCATCATGGTACCTCATCACAAGCCTGCATTTTTAGCTTTTAACAAAATGAAGGATATATTTTATAGAATTTCGAGGCCTTACGAAGTGCTGCCTATTCACAAATGTAGCTTTAAAAAGAAAGAATGCTCGACTACATGCATCATTTCCTGTGAATCCCTCTTCTCAGGAAAGTAGGCAATCTGAATCTGGTGTAGAAATATAACAGATACAACAAATGACCGTTGGAAAAAATGTGGCCTAAGAATCGAATAACAAATCAAAGTTTCATGAATATCTATCTTAAAAAGTATAACCTTAAACTGTCTTGATTAACTCATCTATGACTTCCTGTTTTGTCGAAGATCTTTCTTGTTAAAAAAAAAATCTATATCCATAAGAATCCATCATGGTTCATTTATGTTTGAACAACCGTTTTTACTGGAGTTTCTGATTCATCTGCTTGTTCATCTCTATGACACAGCAAAAACGCAAGCTCAGGATCTACATTTCCAACACGTACACCCCCAGCAAGCCGGAGGGCGAGGAGGCAGAGAAGGTTTCCTCCTGGGAACTGAGAGTGGAGGGAAAACTTCTGGAGGAAGTACGTGAGAAACTCTCTTCACTTGAACCTCCTCGCTCTGTTTTGCCATCGTCCCACTGTGTTCTGACTCCTAAGTATTTCAGTCTGTGTTAATCTGTTTCTGAAAAGTCTCCCAGCTCTGGTTGGCCTGTGTCCTTGGCTCAGACCACGCAACCAGATGTGTGTTTACAGCTCTCCCCACTCCACTCCACCCCACGACACACACACACACACACACACACACACACACACACACACACACACACACACACACACACACACACACACACACACACACAGAGAATCATGTTCCCCTTTTGAAGCAAGGAATTGAAACCACTGGCCGTTGCATACCATGAGCTGACATGCCTCCCCTCCCTCCATCAATTCCAGCACATTGTGTCATCTGGGGCCACATGAAGGAGGCTTGTTTTTTCAGTTAATTTCTCTCCGCTGGCTCATTTGGCGTAGGCATGCGTAGGAGTAGAACATGGAGTAACAGAAAAGGGATGCGAGGGAAGGAGTTGTGCAAACAGCACTTTGGAGAGGCCTGGGGAAAAACAGCTTTTTATGGTTGTCTGCAGCTTTGTGCTTCAACACCCCCAATGTGGTCAGAGCTAAACAATGCAGCTGCACACAGCACAATATAAGATAGATAACAATCCTGCTGCCCTGTCTTTTCACACGCTTTCCTTTGTGCACTTTTTGTTTTCTAGCCTGGCAAGCAGAAGAGGAAGTTCTCATCTTTCTTCAAAAGCCTGGTGATTGAGCTGGATAAGGAGCTCTATGGACCCGACAACCACCTAGTAGAGGTATGGCATCATTTAACAGGCATTTGCTGCAACAATCTCATAAACTCCAGGGGAGTTCACTAGCCCCAACATCTCCTGAGACTATTATTGGTTCACTAGCCCCAACGCTTTCTTCTTTAGCCTGGTCACAAAGTTGAGTTCAGCTGGAATTGTCAACTTTTAGATTAAGTCCCTTTTATAAGAGTTATTGAATCTGGAAACATTAAATCCCAACATTATGTTTTGTTCGAAGTATTATGGTAACTAAATAAAGTTTAAGCTTTAATCAAAGAACATCTGTTTTTTCAGTGGCACAGAATGCCCACCACTCAGGAGACGGATGGTTTCCAGGTCAAAAGGCCCGGTGATGTGAATGTGAAATGCACCCTGCTGCTCATGCTCGACCACCAGGTATCACCTATTTTCTCAATTAAAACAGGTTTGAATGGTATGGCTTGTTTCCTATTTTCAAACCGCCTATTTCTCTGCTACTTTTCAAATGTTCAGCCCCCTCAGTACAAACTGGACCCCCGGTTGGCTCGTCTGCTCGGTGTTCACACACAGACGCGAGCCAGCATCATGCAGGCCCTTTGGCTCTACATCAAGAATAACAAGCTGCAGGACTGTCATGAGAAGGAGTTCATCAACTGCAACCGCTACTTCAGACAGGTAATGGAAACATGTGGAGGCTTTGCCAAGCAGCACAAAGCTACATCAACTTTTCCAAGTGTTGCTCTGATATGCTTTCACATTGGTTGTGTAATGTATTGATAAATGTGCAGAACTCAGCAGATGTTTTTTTTTCATACAGAGAATTACCATAATTCATACCAGATTTAGAATTTGTACCATGGTCTGTTACCTGATGCCATGATGTATTCATTTAAACAATACATTTATGCATACAGTTACCTTATTTTTACCCAAATGTAATTCTTAATAAGGTAAAATTCATAATTATTTTTAACTTGTAGCTTTAATTTCTTAAAGATGCACAAAAAACAGCTTCGCTTAAACCCCGCAAAGTACATACTACATTGTGCAACTAATAGCATGTATATGAATGCTTATGGGGAGAAAAAAAGGTCACAAAACGTTACTTTCAGCATATAAAGTTTGCTCTGTTTTCTAACCAAATGCTGTTCAGATCTTCGGCTGTCCTCGCATGAAGTTCTCTGAGATTCCCATGAAACTGGCAGGCCTGCTGCAGCACCCTGACCCCATCATCGTCAATCACATGATTAGGTAGGAGTGTGTGGATCATTGTCATCTTTCTGTATGTGCACTAATATTTTCAGGATCTCATTAATTATACAGAATCTTCCAAAGACTTTAGAGAAGTTTGAGCTCATGCTTTTCAACCACCATATGACTTGTTGTTAATTTTAACTTCACTCTTGACTTGCATCTCCTCTGCACAGTGTGGACCCCACCGATCAGAAGAAGACTGCGTGCTATGACATTGATGTGGAGGTGGATGACCCTCTGAAGGGCCAAATGAACAGTTTCCTGTCCTCTACAACAAACCAACAGGAAATTGCTGCGCTGGAAATTAAGGTAAGGCCTGTCAGTCAATCACAACTGGCCCTCATCTCCCTGGCTTTTCAGATAATTGGAGTAAAATTGTAATATGTTTGGTTTACTTATACTGCACTGGTTTTGTATACTGCAGATTCACGAGACGATTGAGTACATCAACCAGCTGAAGACTGAGAGAGACTTCATGCTGAGCTTCAGCAATAAACCTCAGGACTTCATCCAAGACTGGCTCAAGTCTCAGTGCAGAGATCTGAAGGTGAACTTGTTCTCACAACGCTGATTACTGTATGTGTTAATAGGACGAGAGTCATTATAGCACCTCTCATTGCGTTGCAGTCATTTGTAGATTAGTTTTCTCAAATGAAGGGACTTTAATGCCTTGACTGCCTAAATTGACAATTGTTGACCTTATTTGGGTATTTTAAATGAAACATTTATCTGTTTTCATAAAATGATAGTTCCTTATGTTCAATGTTTTCTTTTTTTGTCAGTTGATGACTGATGTGACAGGAAACCCAGAGGAGGAGAGGAGGACTGAGTTCTACGAGGGGCCCTGGGTACCAGAGGCTGTGGGCAGATACGTCTACTCCAAGGTAAAGAATTACACAGCCTTATGTAGTGCTTCACAGTGAACACCGGATGGTTTATTGTAAGTTATTCTAGTTTCAACATGCACTGAGACATTTCTTTTTTTGTTTCAGGTCCAGCAGAGAAGACAAGACTTGGAGCAGGTGTTGGGAATCCGTCTCGCCTAAAGACATATTACAGTATACAATATATACTTGACTTAATCGAAATTGGAATTTGCTGGGAAATAAATAGGCTACTGTTGCAGCTTAAATGTTAACAAAGCCATCCTCACTGACATGGTATATGGGAAACATATAGGATTGTAGTTTTAAATCAAGTATATTGGGCCAAAGTGATTAACATTTCCTTAATTCTATGATTACTTTATATTTTGTGTCGTTTTGAGCCTGTTCAAATAATCTTGCCTTGTTTTGCTAAATGTTTTGTTTATGGTACATTATGCTTGAAACAGTGTTGGCATTGGTGCTGTGTAGGTGTTTTAGAAAGGGTGTCTGTTTACCATTTAGAAGCCATAACCTTAAGTGAGGAACAATGCAAAATAATACATACTGAACTGTTTTGCACCAGAGATATATGTACATATTTCAAAGATGTATTTAGAAAACATTGATAGTTTCCCTTCAAAAATACGTAGGTTTTTTTTACGATGTTTCATGACGTGGATAGTAACTTTTTTTGCCAACAATAATAATAATAATAATTTGAAGAGCTGTTTTTTCTTTTATATCGATGCATATGTAATTTGAAATGAAACGTGTATTTGCTTTGTAAAAAAAGCATGATTTGGAGGACAGCTCTACATGGGAAAATGTGAGCTAATTTGAGTCCTCTCTGTCCAGCTGTAATTCATCAGCTCTTTTTGTACTTTTTGGATGTTTACATGCTGTCCTTGTTTATTATTGGGGTTGTTGGGGTTATTGTTTTAATGCCGGGAAATTGAACTGTTGCCTTCTCTTTGGATTGAAGTGTTTCTGTCAGATCCAAAAGGTTAGCTGATATTAATAAAATAGGAATGCAGTTATAGTGTGCCAACTAAACAATGCATCAGATGTGTGTTTCTAGTTTCTGGAGGTAACTTTTAATTGAAATGCCATTTTGTTGTTGTCAATTTAGGTATGAGGGTTTCTTTAAACATTCCATGTTGACAGTATCGCTGTGCCATCATTTGTTTTGTGAAGAACACACTTAAATATGTGACATTTTGTGTACAAATATTTGTTTGTAATGCCTCTTTTGTAAAATGTTTGCATGTTTTCTATCAATCAAAAACCTTTATCTTTTATACATTTTTCACATTTTTCACAATAAATGTTCCTACCAAAGTTTTGTGTTACAATGTAAATGCCCATGGCGTTATTCTAAATATTATTAATGGTATCGTCTTATATTCATATCTTTTACTGCATTCTCAACTGTGTGATAAAAGCTAGGCTCAGGCCATGAGTGTGCATGTCAGGGCTGGTCTCAGGTGTCTCTGAAGAAGTCTCAACAGGTCTGGCTGGTTTTACCTGTATGTTAGCGCCTAAATGGATTTCCCTCTCCTCAAATAACGGCCAACCCAAAAACATCCTGCACTCTTTGCAGATCTGCGTCTCAGCTTGCAAAGCAAATAACTGACTAAAGGTTTGCATAGAATTACATTTATCAATAAATGGGGAGTCAATTAAGCTTTGAACTAAAAAACTATGACAACAATAAGATAATGTTGTTAGGGCAATCGCTGAAGGTGATAAAAGCAGATCAAAGGAAATACGCTTTAATAAAATAAATAATAAAGAAAGCATATTTAAGGCTATGTATAACACACACACACACACACACACACACACACACACATTACGGCATTTATGGCGGGGGAAAGGCTGTAGGTGGCGATGTGCGGAATTATTTAAAAATGCACGAAGAAGAAGTATCCCGGAAATACCTCTCTCCTCCAGCGGAAACTGAAAATTCCAAGATGGAGGTGGACGGACCTGATCATGTAGGTGTATTTTTTCTTCCGTTTTGTTTGATTTATTGGTAATAAATGACTAAAGGAGAGTTATAATTATGCTTTGAGTCGAATAGTTTAACCTTCATCGGCTGTAAGAAGTACCGGCTGTGCGACTCAGCTGTAAATAGTGACATATCACTTCTTTGGGAACAATAAATGTGTGTAGTATTCTGCCGGTTTGCTGTCTCATTGTAGCTAACTGTGCTAACGTGCTAGCATGGGCTCACTGTCTGTTGACGTATAGCTATCTTAAGATAATCTGAATGACTTGCAGTTAGGGTCTTCTTTGTTGTAAACTATCAAATAAACAACCGACGTTACATTCAATTTAGGTTAAATAAGTGTTTGAGCATCACAAAGCGCTGGCTAAGCTACCTCATCTAAACACTATGCCGAGTCGAGTTGGCTAACGTTAGCTGCTAGCATAACTTGTTGTTAGAATAATTATAATTGGGATGAAACCCTTTTTAATGGTCAAGCGGCAGAGCACACAGCACACAGTGACATTTGTTCTCTTCATTTAACCCATCCTAGTACCAGGAGTCTAGTACTAGGAGCAGGGAACTAGTCTAGAACTAGTCAGCAGAATAAACTAACTAGATCATTACATAGAGGCAGATAATAGATACTTATAGCTAACATTATGGATTTATTTTTTTCACGAACTATAACGAAATGTAGCTTTCTTTAATTTTGTATAATTGAGTAAACACTTTGACAACTAATCGAGACGGATTGAAATCGCTCAAAGATGTTTATTACATTTGCCTGGTTAATTACAATTAACAATAGAGTATGACATATTGGGTATAGCTTATAAATGTAAACGATTGTAAATCGGATATATGTAAAGTTTCTGCTGTTCTTAGACAATATCTCGAGTGACTTTTTGCTGACATAACGATCAACAGATAAATACGTTTGATATTTGTTTGACAGATGGAGATGGGGGACAGCAAAGGTGGCTCAGGGCTCCGACAGTACTACTTGTCCAAGATAGAAGAGTTACAGGTAAGAAATCATGATCTCGGCAAATGTTTAGTCGTTAATGTGACAGAACTTCAATTTCTAAACGCTGCTTTCTTCTTAAGTTGACAGTAAATGACAAGAGCCAGAATCTCAGACGCCTGCAGGCACAGAGAAATGAGCTCAATGCCAAAGGTGAACAGTTCTTTACCACTGTGTGTTTGACATATCATTTCATTTTATCACATAAAGTCATGTTAACTTCCACATTGGTGACCTTTTATTATTTTGTATCTCCCAGTGCGTCTCCTTCGTGAGGAGCTGCAGTTACTACAGGAGCAGGGCTCCTACGTAGGGGAGGTGGTGAGGGTCATGGACAAAAAGAAAGTGCTGGTCAAGGTAGGCTGTGTTATTGTGCTTTGTACCACACCGTCATTTTGAGTACTAGTTGAAAGCTTAAATTAAAATGTCTCAATTATTTTCAGGTACACCCAGAAGGAAAGTTTGTCGTTGATGTGGACAAGAACATTGACATCAATGATGTAAGTTTTGAATTCAGAATCCCGTCAATGGTTGGCATTTGAACCCATTCTGTTTTGCAAAACAAACATTATGGCCTTTCACTTGTTCTGTTGATAGCATAAAACTAAATAGTAAATAATTCAAGTCATATTTACTCACCTGTACGTTTATGAAAACATAGGATGTCATGTCAGGAACATAAAACCTGCAGTATCCAATAACACCTCTGTCCCTCCTACATCAGGTGACTCCTAATTGCCGTGTGGCTCTGCGTAACGACAGCTACACCCTGCACAAGATCCTGCCCAACAAGGTGGACCCGCTGGTGTCCCTCATGATGGTGGAGAAGGTGCCGGACTCCACCTATGAAATGATTGGTGGCCTGGATAAGCAGATCAAAGAGATCAAGGAAGTGATTGAGCTGCCTGTCAAGCACCCAGAGCTGTTTGAAGCTCTGGGCATTGCACAGCCTAAGGTGAGCGACTTATTCAATGTTTCTGTACGGATTCTTAAAGGGGACGTTTCTCTTTAATGATTGTTCAGATGCAGTCATATGTTATGTTCCTCTGGCAGTGTAAAGATGGTTCTGTTTGCTTTGAATGTGTGCAGGGAGTGCTGCTGTACGGCCCCCCCGGTACAGGGAAGACCCTGCTGGCCCGAGCTGTGGCCCACCACACTGACTGCACCTTCATCAGGGTGTCTGGCTCCGAGTTGGTCCAGAAGTTCATTGGAGAGGGTAAGCTTCCTTTTAAATTATTTTATTAACAGACCATTTTAAGGCTCAAGGACCTCCCTGTTTATTTGATTGTAAACTATTTGGTTGTATAACTGTTATTTCTCCCTCTCTTGTGCCAGGTGCCCGTATGGTGCGTGAACTCTTCGTCATGGCCAGAGAACATGCTCCGTCCATCATCTTCATGGACGAGATCGACTCCATCGGCTCGTCTCGTCTGGAGGGTGGCTCGGGGGGAGACAGTGAGGTTCAGAGGACCATGCTGGAGCTCCTCAACCAGCTGGACGGTTTCGAGGCCACCAAAAACATCAAGGTAACACACACAACTATTTTTGTTTTTTTATTGCATGAATGTGAGCAGTTATGATCTTTATTATGAATATGTAAATGTGGCTTTATAGTGTGCATAGCTTAGCCCTTCACTAAACCTTCTTAACTAAATTACCATTTAAGGGTATATACAAATAATGATTTAGTACATTATCATTTTGTTAGAGCAGATATAAGGATTTCTATGTAACTTTTTTACAAATAAATCCATTAACACTTAGAATACCTTATATCTGCTTAAACCTAATATACTGATTTTATTAAAGTCTTTCACACATTGTATTATCCCAAATACTTATTTCAATTGTTTCTCTCTCTCTCAGGTCATCATGGCCACCAACCGTATCGACATCCTGGACTCTGCTCTGCTCAGGCCCGGCAGGATCGACAGGAAGATTGAGTTCCCCCCTCCAAATGAGGAGGTAGGCACTTTCACAACACAGTGAATACACACATGTAGACCTGCTGTGGGTTTGTTTTTGAACATCTCTTTATTGTGCATCATTAGGCCCGTCTGGACATCCTGAAGATCCACTCCAGGAAGATGAACCTGACACGTGGCATTAATCTGAGGAAGATCGCAGAGCTGATGCCTGGAGCCTCTGGTGCCGAGGTTAAGGTGAGAGGAAACCCACTACATGCTAGCAGCTGGTCCGTTCATTAATACCTTTATTTTTTTATTGAACGTTCTTGTCTTTATTTTCTAGGGTGTGTGCACAGAGGCAGGGATGTACGCTCTGAGAGAGAGGAGAGTTCACGTCAACCAGGAGGACTTTGAGATGGCTGTGGCAAAGGTTTGTGTCTTTCATGCTTTCATACACTTTACCAAAACTAATCATTCCTGGTAACACGCAGCCAGATAATGTTTTTTACTGATGTTATTCTTGATTGAGCTTGCCAATATATGTAATTTCTTCAACTGCATTTACAATGTTTGTGCTTATCACAAAAGCTGTTAATATCCAAGTCTATTATGTTACAATGCATGTTCTTTTCTGTTTGCATAACTGTACCATACTTGGAATAGTATACTTGTATAATTATTGTTTCTACTACTAAGTCTGTCCCGTTTCCCCCCTCCAGGTGATGCAGAAAGACAGCGAGAAGAACATGTCCATCAAGAAGCTGTGGAAGTAAAAGGCCTTGTGTATTCATGCGCACAATGCAAACACATATGTATATTTTCCTTTTGTTTATGCTTTGGTTTATAATTGTCATTCTAGAGTAAATGGTTTCCCCAAATAACAGATGGTCCATGGTTTTTATTTCTCAGTTCTCCATTATCACCAAATACAACATATTTCTTTTAATACAGATTTGTGTCAAAGCCAAGTTAGGTCACATTAGAATTTCCTTTTACAATTATATATTTTGTAAATACTTGATATGGCACTCCACAATAGCTTCCATTACAGTAGAAGTCTGACATGATTGGTCGATCTAGTTCCTACATGCTTCTGAGAGGTTTTCTACTGCTACTTCACACTGAAGGATCTAAAACAATGAAATTGCAGCTACCGTGGACCTGTGTGTGGAATTGTTAACACTGGCTAACTCCTGGGTTGCGGTCCAATAGTCCGCTCCTAACGTCTTGACCTCTGTGTGAAACGTCACGGGGCTAAGTGGATTCAAAAGGACTTGGAGTACTTTAGAGAATCCAAATGTACTTTCACTATCTGACGTGTTGATGATGCTGCTGTGGGGAAACTACAGTTTTCTAAACAGCGGACTACAACATGGATGTATAATAAGAAGGAACTACTGTAAACTCATCTAGAGACTCTGCACCGTGCTGTTGTTTTATGCTTTATGAATGTGGACAACAGAGAAACATATTCTTCATGACCAAAGTTGGAATTTAAATAAAAAAGGAAAGTGAAACTTATGCTCGTCACCCTCCGGTCCACATTAATACGTATGATTGTATTAACTACGAAAATATCTTAAAATCAATACAAATGTATTTATTATAAACGTTAGTCCTTAACATCTATCAGTGTGTATATCACCATTCAAACATCTTTTTAAAGTTGAACAAACCCTACAGCTCAGTAAAGACTGAAATGTTGACTTTATTTGATCAGTTTTAGTAAAAACTAGCATTCATATTTCTCTCTTTGATTATAATACTGATCAACGTTCAAAACAAAGCACTTGTGGCAAGTTACCAAATACGTTTTAATAAGCACCGTAACGTTCATATCATTTCTCGGTCATATAGTTTGTTTCCGTGAACGGCCGGTAAATGCTGCGGCCGCAAGGCATTGTGGGGCAGCATTTTCTCCTCTCCTTTCGTAAAGGGAGGTCCAGTGGTTCCTAAGCTAAAGGAGGTTAGAGAATTGGAACAGCACTTATCATGGATGCCACTGATGTACTTCCGGGTCATTTCACTCGGTTAGGAAGGTTGCTAAGCTAAATGGACTATTCGACCGCAACCCAGATCTGAGGACCTCAGGAGGCGTCCCGCAGTATAACCTGTCCTCCGAACGCTGAGCTGATTCAACTGGAAACAGTCAGCTTGAGAAGGCTAGCCCCTCACCCAGGACACAGGCACCCACTGCCGCTCCACCTGCACCCTCTCCAGGACCACCTGCAGCTCCGCTAAGGCACCGACCGGGTCCTCCTTCACCAGGACGTAGTCCACCCAAGCCCCGTAGCTCTCGTCCATCCTCTCCGCTGAGTGTTTCATGTCCTGTAGGTCGCACTCCTGTTTGTCATAAGGAAGGGGACATGTTGATTCAGCCTTTTGATCAGTGTACAAAGCTCTCCTATAATGTACATTTAATATATCCAAAAGAAAAGGGATTTAGACTTTTATGATGACGCCGTGTTTAATGTAACTCACCGTGATCCCTGAGCTGAGTGAGGAACAGGAGCCAAGTGTTTTCCTGATGCTGTGATAGATGCGAGGAGTTACATAGATGACATAGGGTTTGAACTCAGCAGTACGAAGAGTCTTCAGTGCCTGAAACAAATCATATTGTACTTTAAAACACAAGGGTTGAACTAAATACAGTGTATTGCAATGTAGTTATATTCAAACAAACTGTCAGCATATAAGGTAGAACTTAATTAACAGACTGAATGCCCTGTAAAACCAAGGTGAGTCTGTCATTAGATAACATTAAATACCAAAAACAAAACGGTGCAGAAAACCCAATTAAACTCGAGTGTGAAAGAACCCTTTAGTTCACAGAAAACTGCACCTATTCATGCTTTGAATAAAATCTTTAATTAAACTGTCAGACGTGATGCTAAAAGTTGGAATGTGTTTTCTTCTGCATCATTGAGGCAGATAAAGGCAATCAATTCTGTGAACAAATTAAACGTTTGTGACAATCTGGACAGAGGAGCACACATCTGCACGTACTCCTGTAAAAGCCCTTGCACATTTAATATTACAGATAGCGGCAACAGTTATCAGAAACATATGTTGGTATGTAGTGCTGCGTGACACTTTTTATACTAACCTCTGGTTGCACATCCACCAGACAGACCTTGTTTTGATCCAGATTTCTGTTAATGGACTCCAAACTGGTGCCGTACAGATTATCTTTATAGTCCCCGTATTCAATGAATCTGAAGAAATACAGCAGCATCATCATCATCAACACTTCATTCTCTCAATTAAACATATTAGTGCCCAATACTCACTTGCCACTCTGAATGTCGGCCTCGAACGCTGCTTTGGTGATGAAGTGGTATTCCACTCCTTCTTTCTCCTGAGACTTCCTGGCTCGAGTGGTGTCTTTGGTCACATGTTCAAAAGCAGGATAAGAACTGAACTTTTGTATTTTTGCTTAATATAAAAAACGTGTTAATATAATGCATACATCACAATGATGACATTTGACCTGACAGAAAAGAAGCATTCAGACCAAAGGAAGGTTTTTTAGATAGTCCTCGTCAGTCAACACTTATAAAACTCCAGAAACTACCTTTTCATTTTTGCTTTGTACAGGACGGCAACATAAATAATTTACAACATACTATGTCGCTTTTGATGTATTATACGCTTTCTTACTGATATTGTTGACCTACTGCAATATATATATATTTTTTTATGACATTATATGCCATACTAAGACTTTTTTTCGACATACTATACTATGGGGTTTTTGCACTAAACAATGAACAAAACATCTAATCGTCCTGTTATTTAATTTAATGTAATTTTGAAAGAAAAACATTGACAACAGTGTATTAATCGTATTTGAATCCAAGATTACAAATATTATCCGGTGACTCAAGTGCAAAGTACACGTTGGTGTAGTTTTTTTGTTTTTTTTATCAAGTTTTGATTTAAAAAAAGAAAGAAAAGGCAATAAGACTCACGAGGCACAGCCAAACCAAATCGTCGAGGATTTCCAGCGATCACTTTCTGTTTGAGTTCCGTTATCCGAGCTCCCAAGGAACCTGTGACCAAATAAATATATCAAATAAATGAATGGACAATTATTCAACACGGTAAGGTGCTGCAGAAAAAACATCTGAGAGCAAGGTCCATGGGTGAGGGGGAAGGAGTCTTGTATTGGAGAGACTGACTGACATAATCAGACGGAGGGCAGGAGGATTTGCATAGCGATTTAGAAACTGCTGTGTGTTGCTACATTTATTTGTATTCTCTCTTATCTGATATAGTTTTATTGTATTTCGTTGTAAATAATGTGAATCATATTTTCCTATTAGTTTTAATTCCCATTTATATTTGTGAAACACATCATACAACCACCCCGGTCCCTCAGATCCACCTCAGCCGGTTTGCTTTCCATCCCCAAGGACAAACTCCGGAGCTTCGGGGATAGAGCCTTCTCTGTGGCAGCCCCGAAGCTCTGGAACTCCAGTCCCGCCTCAAAACCCACCTCTTCAACTCTGTATATCCATAAGGCCCCCCCCCCCCC